AACAATGGCGGCAGCTACTTAGTTTTAATATCACTCTTATTTCTCTTTCTGGGTCGCAAAAAACTTTTGACATATTTTCAGGTGAGAATGTAGCTGTGCAAACTTCAAATATCTGAGCCGACACATCGTCTTCAAACCCCCGCGGTCTTTCACTACTCGGGTCAAACATGATATATGAGTCACTTTGATCTCAGCCAAACCGATTTACTCTCGAACAAATAAAACACTGAAAAAGCCAAACAATAACATGTTTAAGTTATCAAAGTTATTAGATTAGATTAAATTAAATTTCATTTAATTTTATTAATCCCTCGGGAGGCTTCCTCCGGGGTTTTCACACAGCTGAATAAATGTCAAACAGAAAATGATTAAACAGAAAAGTTTACGTCAGCGCCCGGTTATATTTTAGATAGCAAGGAGCAGACGGCAGTTTCACTCCACCGAGGGAGCTCGTGACGTACTACCTGGCTTTCTTTAGACCACGAAGGGCGGGTCCTCAGGTGGAAGCAGCCTCTGAATTTGGACACCCCCGCTGTTTCCGGGCCGGCCAATAATAATGGTGACATGTAACGTATTTTATCCGATAAATAAACCCTGTAAAATGCATTTATTGAGGTTTTCCTGGGAATATCACCAAAATTCAAGCTTTGGAAAACGCCGTATTTCATCCAGTGTCTACCCTCAATTACTGAATAAAAATAATAATTCCCACCACAAACACATGTGCAGGGGACATGGTTGACGCTTCCGGACTGGACAGGTTGAAGTTTAGCTGACGGTGTTTCCCTCCTCTCCGTCCTGAGTGGCGCGATCTGGTTTGATGTTCTCAGGACTTAAAAGCAGTTTTTGTTTATTTTGAGCTTTTTGAGTTTTTGATGTAAAACAGCTAAAAATAAAAATGTCTTAGACTCTTGTAACTGTTAAAGATGAATATTGGCGATATTTAGTTTCGCCAGTAGGTGGCAGTGGCGGCTCAGACAAACAGGTGACCGGCAAAATAATCCCTCACAAAAGTAACGCAGGCCACTTATTGTAATGGCAGCCGTCAGTAAAACAGAACTGTTTTGCTGTGTTTCAGCGCAATAAACCTCCACGTGCACCTGGATGAACCTCGTCTTCCGTCAGTGTGTAACACGTCTTCAAAGTGGGTGACTTCCATCCTTTTTATACAGTCTGTGGTCTGGAAGCAGCCCAGGACATTTTACTCCAACCAGGATTTTAAAATCAGCCCATTCTGCAGAAAGGCTCATAAATAAAGAACCTCGGCAGTAAAAGACGGTCGATGAGTAAACGCTTATTAACCCCGATTCTTTCGTCCCCATGATAGAACAGAGAAAACCGACTCATAGTGTGTTAAAACATTTATATTTCTTTTATTCAATCATCTTCCGGAAGAGAGAGACCCCTGCACAGCCCAAAACGCCAGTTGCAGGATCTCGAACATTAGAATCATAAACTGTGCCTCATATAGGTTTGATTTCTGTACTTTACACGTCATAGTTTCAAACATTGCTTATATGGCAAAGTTCCTCTTTTCTGTGTCTTATCTATTAATATGGCTGTGCACTAAAACTTCCTGTTGTTCAGTCTGGCTGAGCACTTAGTTTGGGAGTCAAAAGTGGCCTTGCTCTACAAACCTTCATGATTAAAGAACATAAAACAATATAATGAGAAAATAAGGATACTAAGGATATTAGTTACATGACTCTCTGATTGCAGAATGTAAAATTTCCAGATTTCTAAACGTTTAAAACTCATGTACAAAAATCTCAATCAGAACTTTGTGTGCAACAAATTATTCACAGAATAACTCAGAGAATCGGCGCCGTCTCCAGAGCTTTGACTCGAGTGGCGAACAGCAGGACGTTCTTCTCCACCTCTGCGTTGATCTGCGCCTGCGAGGCTCGCGGGTTCTGTCGCAGGAACTGTGCGATGCTCAGGACGCAGTCTCGCTGAGGACACGGAACAGAACGACATGCATCGTGAGGAAATGACACGCGAGCAGAGTGGCGGATGTGATCGGCGCCCCCGCTGTACCTTGTAGGCGTCAACTTTGTCCTGGCCGGTGAGCCGATTCAGCAGCTCTCTGCCGACCTGGACGCCCGTCACCGCCGCCAAGATCCTCCGGTCCTCCTCAGTCTGAGAGTTCAACCATCGCAGCAGCGCCACCTGCAGGAAACACGATGAGAACCAATCGCAGAGTTTTTGTCTGTAAACCCAGCAGACATGCCACAGGTGTTTTTATGAACACAAAAAGTGAAAAAGATGAACAGAAACAAGCTGGGGCTCTTTAGATTCTCCCGTAAACTCACAAAACTAGACCAAAGACAGAGCTGATGGAGAAAGACGCAGCATCCCTCTGTGCAGGTGAGCCTCAGCAGCCAATCAGGAGCAGGGACTGAACTTAAAAACAAACTGGATGAAAAACACGTGGGTGTACAGAGGCTGAGGGCTGGACTGTGGATCAGGAAGTGACTTCAGGTTTAACTGTGGGTATAAAAGAGCTGCCGACAGACAGACAGACCTAAAGCGTGTACCTGCTGCCTGTGGGAAAGGAAGAGGGACAGGTACACCTGCAGGTGTTATCCTGTGTCTTCAGGAGGATTTGTGGCTGTTTTCCTTTCAGCTGAGTTAGATTTTAATTTGACTCTGCTGATAGTTTGATGTTCCTGTGACCCTGCACCTGTAAAGATTACAAGGTCCATGACATGTCAGGGACCCTCCCACAGGATTTCAAATGTGGGACCAATTGTTCTTGGAGCGGAAGAAGCTTCTCTGATTAAGTCCAGGCGCTTTTCTCTCCAGGCTCCTTAGACTACGATGACTGAAACCTGTAATGATTCCTGAAAAATTAAATTGTTTCTGTTCTTATTAAAAGTCTTTTTGGTCGTTTTGATCGGACCTTCTCGGCCACGTTTAATTTACTGTGACACACGCTGTGATAAAAGTTTACATTTCATTTGTTTCACATCAGATTAAACGGATTTACCTGCTGGAATAACTGCGCGTTGCTCATCTCTCCTGTGTGGTTCACTGACCCGGACATGACCGGAAAACGGCCCAAAAACAGCGAAAAATCCCCAAACTAAGAAAAACGTCCCGAGATTAAACTAAAGCAAACTTCAGCAGCTCCTCTGTGTTCAGCAGCTTTCGCTGAATTTCACATTTATCCACAAATTCGACACGACAGTTTTTGTGGATGTACATGCCCCACTTCCTGTTTACATCACTTCTTCTTCGTCGCTTCAGAAGCAGCTCGGCGGCTCCACAGCGCCGCGTGCGTGAAACAAAACGCTGCTTCCGTCCGCGTGCTGCGCCACAACCGTGTCTCCGCGTGTTTGCCGCAGAGCTCCGACTGAGCGCTGGGTATCGATTCCCATTTCTAAAATCGATTCAATTCCGTTTTGACTCAGACAGTCAGAAATATTCTAATTCTGATCAGTTATCAGTTCATCTCCATATTTTTATATCTATGTATAAAACAAAGTTCATCAGAGGCGTGAGCATCACAGCAGAGGCCTTTGTGTCAAAGGAACTGAGGATAAAACAGAAAATCATGAAGCAGATTTTCCTGGCCTGGCGTTTTATAGCAGATAGCTAGACTTGTAGTCAAGACCGAGACCAAAAAGTCCTTAAACTGCAGCCAGATGCTGCTTCGTTTACGGGTGTCGGGCATATTATGTGTTTTTGCGATGCACAGCCCTCCTCACCGCTGTCTCTCACTCACTGAGAGGACAGACGCACGCTCCACGTGACTCTCACCCTCTCTGTTTTTCACACAATGATATTATCCTATATCCTCGCATGTGATTGGCCACAATATGGAGGGATTGGAGCATAGCTGAGCCCCTGTGTAAGAGCTGAGCAGCCAAAGGAAATTAAGTGAGGAGCGGCTCTCGCTCAGTGGGAGTCGAGTCTGATTCACTACAAAGCGCTCTGTAAGCACGGCTCTTAGAGCTGATGCTTTTGAAATGACACATCATCGAACGTTACGGTGTGTGTCATGGAAACTGTTGACTCCAGATCTCCCGACCACTATGTCGATCTGAGACGGCGAGACCGAGACAAGACCGAGACAAGACGGAGACAAGACGGAGACCACGTAAAAGTGGTCTCGAGACATCAAGTCTACAGATAACCTTAAAAAAATACTGCAGTCGATCCAAAACAGAAGAAAACCATGAATCAACATGTGAACATGACCTGATGCTGCTGAAGTGAAGCAGAGCAAAGTTACAGAGGTTTGATTACAGACACAGCTGAGCAATCATTTGTAAAAGTTTACATTTCTTCGGTTTGAACGGCAGAAATGAGGCATTGTTGTCAGAGGCCGACAGCGCTGAACACCGCAGCACTGCTGCGTGATAAGCAGAGAATAATGCAGAAAACAGAGATTTGATGGTAAACTGGTGTCTGAGGACACTGAGAGAGCTGTGCAGGAAGTAAAAGCCAAAGTCAGAGCGAGTTCATGACGATGTTTATCAAGCGTGAAGCGTAGTTTGGACCTTCGTTTGCCGCAGGTTCAGAGAATTTTGGTTGGAGAGAGAAAACCTGCAGCATCAGAATCACTGAGCTTTCGCTCTTCAGCCCTGACGGTGAGTCCGTGACGTCGGGTGAACGATCCACACTCTGTGTTTACATGTTTCTGCTCTCATTTACTGTTTCGGCTGTTTGCTGGTTGCTGAAATAGTTTTGTGAGATTCTGGCGTTTCTGGCAAAATACATTTATATTTAAAAATCGATTCTAATGAATCGATTTCACTTTATTCAAACTAAAATCGACGGATTTTTTAAACCCACTCCTGCTCTGACTCCATTTAAGCTCCTTTAAATAATTTCCTGTGTAAAAACTAAAACACGAGGTTTCCCTCGTTTCAGTTTCCTTGGAAACAAACAAACAAACTTTTTAATTTTCTTTGTAATGCCTGAAAAAAAATAGTCACATCACTCTTCATTTACCCAGAATGCAGTGCAGACGCATGAAAACAATATGAATGATATTTCAGAGGGAGACATGAAGCCTCACAGACACATTTTATTGTTCCAGACAGCAGATAAATTCATTACTGTCAACATTTGTTTCACGGCAGCTTGTATCGCTGCTGCGACCTTCACAGCTCGTCTCCTGAGCACAATGGCAGCAGTTTGACGGTGCCGGCGTCTTTCGGAGGTCACGCGGTTTCAGCCGCGCTCTTTGGGTTTGGAGAAGGAGCCCAGCTGTTTGGTGTTGGCGTTCCTCAGCTGCTCCAGCTGCCGCTGGCCCCGTCGGTATAAATACTCAATGTGCATCACGTCCGTCTTCTTGATGCGGGAGTTCTCTCGGAACTCGTCGCGGATTCGGGGGAGGAAGCCCGGTTTGTCCTGCCCGGCTCGCAGGAACTGCCGGTACAGAGCGAGGACCTGCTTCTGCAGCTTACTGTGCCGCAACATCAGACCGAGTCAGCAGAGACAAGAGTCCAATCAGAGAGCAGCTATGCACACATGACGCTCCAACACCGGCGTGTCTCCAGCTGCGCTCCCTCACACGCCCACTCTGAACACACCACGAGGCTCAGCTTCACCTGTTTCTTCTCATTCAGGGTCTTAAAGAAGACCTTTGCCTGCAGGAAGAACACAAAGAGAACCGAACAACAAAACAGCGTTCAGGAAGGTTCATCGCGTCACGGTCGCTGATTTTATTCTCTCACAGGAGAAAACTGACACCTTGAAGACACAACAGAAGGCGTCTGCTCACCTGCAGCTCCATATTTATATCCTGCAAGAACAGCTTTGCATCAGTCAAAGTTCAAAATAATCCTTCTTTAGCTCACGTTCTCTCTGTCTGCCTCCTAGCATGCCTTCCTCCTCTCCTCCGGTCAACAGCAGCACAGTTCCCCCTGAGCCAGACTGAATATAACAAATGTTCTCCTTCTACCTGCTTGTTTTTATTTCGAATGCATTCACTGGAGTTCTGATGAAGGAACACGTGTTTGTGTCTCTCTGTTTCCATTAATGTGGTCTGATCTTTAACTCATGTGTGTTTCATATTCCCGCACAAGCATGAACGTGCACGCGAGCCCCGACTGTGCACACAGGTGTCGACGTAAAAGCACGTTTTTATTTCAGTAAAGATTCTTCCTCCGTCCTTTTTTACCCCCCGCCTCTGCTGATTTTCTCATCACTGATTGTTTTCTGTGATAACTGAGCTCACCCGGCACACGTTATAACAACAACAGCGTTTAGGTGTGTCTCTCACTAAAACACATTTCAGCTAAAATAACATAAATAATTGATCTTTGGATTCTGACTGGATCCTTTGACCCTCCTGAGTAACAGTTTTTACAGTAACACATACAGTAGTATTAGCATTACTTATATTATAGTACTACACGCAGTATTACCAGCAGCTGTGGCTTATGAAAGTAACCCACAGCCGGCTGCTGGACCTCAGGATTGATCAGCGAGAGCGATCAGTTCAACTTCCTGTTTACCTGACGGAGTTCCGCTCGGACCGGTTCGGACCGGCTCCGCTGCTTCACCTGTTTGTCCTATTCCACCGTCACAGGTACGTCTCCCGGCTCTCTGTGACCTTATTGCGTTATAACACCGGCCTGAGTCGCAATGACCAGGACAAACTACAAAACACGTGATTTCCGGGTCAGATTTTCACAATAAAGCACGCGCACAGACAAATAAAAGCTAATACCCGTTTTAAGAACGCTGCTCCTGATTGGTTAGAGCTCAGTTACCTTCTGATGTATTCATCTTAATTTGTACCGTCCAAATCGCCCGTGGGGGGGTGTTCGAGTGGGTTAAAAGCTCTTACTGCGGCGGCGCGGAACAGGAAGATTAGTAGCACTTCCGGTGTCACCTTCTGGAGTCAAATGTCAAAACAGGCGAGCTGAAGCAGTTGGGCTCGTGCTTTTATCACCGGCATCTGTTTCCGGGGGAAGGCTTCCGTGATTTATGACGCCGGTACCTGCGGAGAAAGTAACGAAGTACTTTTAGTGAACTACAGTTTTCAGGATTCAGATCCGACAGTAAGAGAGGAAGCTCTCCCCGCTTCTGTCACACCTGGTAGAGACCAGAAACACCACACCTGGATCACAGGTGAGCCTCTGCGCGCTTGCAGTCACAGCCTCGAGCTTTGAGGTGTTTTTTTAGCTGATGAAGACGCTCTCTGTTCTTCCTCTTACAGACATGGAGATGACAGCTGAGGAACAGCAGCAGGTGGAGGAGCAGGTGGAGAGGCTGCTGAGTGGGCAGGGGTCAGAGGTCACTGTGTGTGATGTGGGCCTGGAGCAGAGCAAACCCGCCACTCTGAGGAAGAACGTCACCTACATCGTCTGTGCTGTCATCTTCAATGAAAAGGTGAACAGAGGTCACCACAGGTAGCCACTCAGTCTCATCAATACCCTTAAATGATCAATTATTTAATTAATTAACACTCCTTCAGGAGGAGGTGCTGATGGTCCAGGAGGCCAAACCGGACTGTTACAAACAGTGGTATCTTCCTGCTGGGAGGGTGGAGGTGGGAGAGAGCCTGGAGGAGGCAATGAAGAGGGAGGTGAGTGAGGAGGAGCCTGAAGCTGCAGCTCCTCCAGCGTCCAGCAGGGGGAGCAGTGAGTCAGTCCCCATAGACTCCCATGTTAAAACAAACCTGTTTACAGCCTGATACACAAACAGTTTGGTCTCTGTGGATCATATACTCCTTCATAACAGCTGTATGCGGAAGAGCGTTTCTATTACTCACCTGTTCAAATTGTATTAAGGCTTAAAATTTGCATTAATAGGGGCGTGGCCTCTTTGACTGACAGGTAGATGGTGGTACAGGTGGCTGTAGCAGCTAGCTGTGCTAGGCTTCACCTTAACTAATGGGAGTCCCTGAACTGGACCTCTGGACCGTGTTTGTGCTGTCGGAGCCTTTTGGAGCGTTTTAACGACATCATGTGACCAATAATATGCCTGCTGTGATGTCACTGTAGAAACAGAGCATCCGAGGAGGCGGAGCTACAGTTCAGATATTACTGAGCACTGATTAGCAGATATGTGTTTGTGTGATGTTTGCATAAGGTCTGTGAATGCAGCTTCCCAACTTTCTAACCAAGATATGTAGCATTAATTAACTCCTCCCACTTGACCAAATACGATCACTTAAGGTTGAAAAAGTCAAAATACTGAAATAACAGTTTGTTTTTTCATTGGGTAAGCACTGCCCTCCTTGCTTGCCCTGACAAAACAACACTGCTTTGCAGACATCAGGAGGCGAGGAGGAGGAGTGATCTGGCTTTAACCTCAGTGTTATGTCACCTGTGTGAACATGTTTTGTTTTTTTTGTATGTCAATAAAATGTCTGAAAATTCATAATCAGAGACTTTGTGGAGCCCCAGGTGGACATTAGAGGAACTGCAGGTTTTGGGGTTTCAGTGTTTTCTTGTCTTTTTAACTCTTTTATTAAGAAAGTACATTGAACATAACAGTAGTATGACTCTCTACATTGCTTTTGCTTTCAGATTTGTAAACTTATAGTTGAAATATAAAACCCGTAAGAACTTGGGTTGGGGGTAGTGGGGCAGCCAAGTTAGCTTCGCATTATTAAGGTTTCAAAGCTTTGAAATGCCCCCTTGCGGACAGATGATAATAATTGGTTAGGCCTGTTGGACTCCAGTTCTTGAAGCTCTTATCGCACTGATTCAGGGTAAAGTCTGAGTCATATACGCACTATCTAAAGACTTTAGAGGCATTTCCAAACCACAAATTCTTATTGCTTCACTCCAAGCAGATATCATTACTCGTAGTGTTGGTTCATCTGGCAGGTTTGTTTTGTTCTGTAGCTTTGTGTCTGATATTAAAGCTGTAGCTGGTATTACTTTAACATTTGTTCCTTCCAGATCTTTCCATCCCACAGTGTAATCTAAACAACAGAGACATATCAATGGCCTTAACTGAGCTGCACAGTAATACTCTCATAGACTTAGAGGGTTTTATATTTAACTCTGGCTTTGTTCCCTTTCCAAATGTATTTTGACAGCAGTCTATCCCACTCCACAAACTGTTTTTGTGGTGTGGGAATCTGTAGCGACCGAAACAAATACAGCATGTTTAATCTAATGGCTTCAATCCTAGAGTGTAGGTCCAATAAAGGGATGGGATTCAGAATCAGAATCAGAATACTTTATTAATCCCGAGGGAAATTAGGGATCCCATCTTTGTATATCAGATTTTATGGATTCATTCACAGGACCATAGTTGGCATCAAACATTTTGGTGACGTCACGATGTATTACCCCCCTACGTACCTAATGCTACCTGCGTCCCATTTCCATTTACAGTGATTCTTCATTTCGATTGGTGGATCGTAGTTTAGAGTTAGTACCTGCGTTTTGTTTACATTAACCTTGTATCCCGAGAAACTCTGAGAGCATTTCCATGATTTTGGGGAGTGCCTGTGTGGGACAGGATGTAGTAGGTCGTCGGTGAACAGTGCTAATGTCTGGTCCCCTCCTGCTGTTCTTACTGTCTCTGCCTGATCCACTGATGGTTCTGTAAACAAGTTGTTTCTGCTGATTAAACGAGCTTCACAGCGTAGCTTCTACTGGACATGTACTTATTGGCTTCCACTGCCGTGTCGTAAATCTTTGTTTATCGGTATATTTCACCTTAGCTAAGCTGGAGGGGATCTGCTGCTCTTTCAGGGTCTCGCACACGTTGGCGTATTCTCTTGGTTTTTTTAGAATCGGGGGGTTAGTCAGGGTCCAAGCTCACTTGGTTGGAGGTAAATCCTCTGTTCTGCCATGCCGTACGAAGCAGAAGTTCCTTTGTTTTGAAGCTGAGGAATTTCACAATAATAGATCGCAGGGGAGCGTCGCCTGGGGGTGGTGCGCCCGTTCGATGCGTACGTCAAGTTCATCTTTGGACGGCCCCAGGCCTTCCCGCGGAAACTTCTCAACAAACTCACTCACTGTTGTAGAGCCCGCTCTGCTGTCTCGGGTACAGCAGAAATGCATTTGTTCTCTCTTCCTGTACGGCTCTGTAGGTCTGTCAGTTTATCCTCCACCTTGTAACAGCAGTCTGGCGAGGAAGGAGCGGCTAGCAGGTCCAGCGGGCATGAGGTGTGGAGGTTAGCCGGATAACTCGAAGCCAGTCAGTTAAATTAAAGAACAGACCTTTATTCATTGTCAGCAACATAAGACCATACAAGCCAGGTCTCCACGGCTCTACTCTGTCCGTACATACATGTGCGGGGATCGGTAATCCCGGCGCCAGGCCGTTACAATGGTGAGGTCTGTCCTGAGAGCAGAACACGAGCAGCATGTAATGGCTGCCACGCTATACTCACACACCCACTAGGAGACTCCGCCAACTACTACAATAGTAGGGCAACCCCCCTAGTGGTGCGATAACACAATAAGGGTTGTTACAACCTTCACCTGTAGCTTTATTTTTTCAATCATGGCGACCTCGGTGTTCTCAATCCTGCCCTCAGCCTCGTCCAGTCTGGCGCTCACCTTTAGGATTTCTTCCTTGATCTCCCCAGTTGTGCACTGTTTTCTTGGCGAAAGTCTTTTATTTCCTGTAACAGTGTCCAAGTCAGCCATATTTCAGCCGTTGCCTGCTGGGGTTGATTCACAGTGTGCGGCAGCAGGTTTGCAGTGAGAGGAGAAAGGTATCAGCCTGGAAGCTATCATTATTTTCCCACCGTTAAACTACCACTTCATTGCCACCTCCGAGTATTGGTTTGGTGTATTTCGCTCACCCCCTTCTTTATTCACCTCGAGGTGCTGCCATCACAGTGACGTTCAAATCGGAAGTCCGTTTCAGTGTTTTCTTTCATTAAAGATGATATTTGGGAGATGACATGAAGCTTTATGGAACTTAAATTAAATGTGTAGTTTTTTTAAAGGCCATCATTAGAAGGGACTGCACATTGATGAGTTTCCAGGTTGCCTCTGATTTCTGCTGCAGTATTTAAAGCTGCCCTGTGTTGAGCAGCAGCTTTGTGAGATGTTTGCTTCAGCTATAAATTCAGTGTCACACTTTTCCTGCTATCCGTGTCGGATCACAGGCGCAGCAGTCCGAGCCGGCCTGCACAGAACTTCGTGCTTTCCATCCCAGACTCGGCTCAGGAGGACGTAATGCTGTGAAAGGATCTCCGTCCTCTCTGTGATCACCACCCTGCTACAAACAGCAGTCTTGCTTATTGCTGCTCCTCTGACTGAAGAGCGAGCTGCTTGGTTGGTCTTTAGAAGAAGTGTTGAGTGATGCATCAAACGCACCTCTTTGTGTGAGGGTACTCAGATAAAAAGCTGATGAGCAGCGCTGGGATGTCTTTGATCTGGGTTTCAGGTTTTGTTGAACCAGCTCATGCAGAGAAAGCCTGGCTTTGTCTTCCATCAGCTGCGGTTCTCTTTGTCTGCAGGTGAAGGAGGAGGCGGGGTTTGAAAGTGAGCCAGTCACCTTGCTGCTCATCCAGGAGCAGGGACCTCAGTGGATCCGTTTCATCTTCCTGGCCAAGGTCACAGGTCAGAGGTCACACACTTTATTAGTGTTGAAGGGTGACCTTTTTACTCCGAGCCCCTGAACGCATCGTTAGCTTTGTCTGGTTTGAGGAAGCTGGGTGAATATGTGTATCACATGAAGGGCAGCAGAGTTTAAGGAGCGTGTCTCTCCTCTTCTGTCAGGGGGAAGTTTAAAGAGTCTGTCAGCAGCAGATCAGGAGTCTCTTCAGGCCTCGTGGTGGGACAGACATTCAGAGCTCCAACTCAGAGGGCGGGACATCCTCCGCCTCATCGAATCTGGACTGAAGTATGTAAACTCAGCGAAACACACCACAGAGTTGAGTTTAGTTATCGATTAACCTGCAGCATCACTTTAAATTCACATCAGTTTTATTTATGGAGTACCAGTGCACTTAAAAGATAGTGTCTGTCTCCTGAATCCAAACTGGAAGCTGGTTCCACAGAAGAGGGGCCTGAAAACTGAAGGCTCTGCCTCCCATTCTACTTTTAAATACTCTAGGAACAACAAGTAGGCCTGCAGAGCGAGAGCGAAGTGCTCTAATAGGGTGATATGGTACTACAAGGTCATTAAGATAAGATGGGGCCTGATTATTTAAGACCTTGTATGTGAGGAGCAGGATTTTGAATTCTGGATTTAACAGGAAGCCAAAACAGGAGAAATCTGCTCTCTCTTTCTAGTCCCTGTCAGGACTCTTGCTGCAGCATTGTGGATTAGCTGAAGGCTTTTCAGGGAGTTTTTAGGACTTCCTGATAATAATGAATTACAGTCGTCCAGCCAGGAAGTAATAAATGCATGAACTAGTTTTTCAGCGTCACTCTGAGACAGGATATTTCTAACTTTAGAGATGTTGCACAAATAGAAGAACTTTTGTGCATATTTGTTTAATATGTGCGTTGAAGGACATGTCCTGGTCAAAAATGACTCCAAGGTTCCTCACAGCGTTACTGGAGGCCAAGGTAATGCCATCCAGAGTAAGAATCTGCTTAGATACCATATTTCTAAGCTTTTCAGGGCCGAGTACAATAACCTCAGTTTGATCTGGATTAAGAAGCAGAAAGTTAGCGGCCATCCAGGTCTTTATGTCTTTAAGACATTCCTGCAGTTTAACTCATTGGTGTGTGTTATCTGGCTTCATGCACAGATAGAGCTGGGTGTCATCAGCATAGCAGTGTAAATGTATGCTATGTCTTCTAATGATGCTGCCTAAGGGAAGCATGTATAATGTAAACAGAATTGGTCCTAGCACTGAACCCTGTGGAACTCCATAATTAACCTCAGTGTGTTTAAAAACTTCCTTTATCTGAGTTGTTCAGCCTCTTTTTGATCTGTACAATGTTGACGTGGCGACTCCTGACTTTCCTGCCGTGCTGCCTTCAGGTACCGTCTGAGTCCCTGCCATCCTGTCACGCTACCCTTAGACCTGAGCTGCCGTCACGTGGTGCAGAGACTCATGTTGGTCTTCGTCGGTGCTGAGGAGCACATCTGGGTTCTGCTCATCAGAGGTACCAAACTCACTCGTTAGCACTGACAGAAAACTTCACGGACTCTACAGTTTGGCTTTTTTCCTGAAAACACGGCCGAGTTAAAGTGTTTTAAGTGTGACATCTTCCTAAATAACCTGTAATTAAGTAGGACCCTGAGCCTCAGTAACAGACTGAACTAAATTAAATAATGCAATATATTAGAAAGTTACAAATATAAGAAACAGTCCTAATATATATAAATACCTCAATGATAAATATCCAGAATATTACAGACGTGATTTTTTTGCTGGCAGCCCCGGAGCCCCACCTCCCAACAGCGGCGGCGGTGAGGACCCACGCGGTGACCTGGGCGGCCAACATGGTGGTGCAGGAAGCCATGCAGTCGGCTTACTACGACCATGATGTCAACACGCTGGGCGTGCTCAGTCTGCAGCACAACGGCCGACAGAATGGCAAGACGGACGGCGTGTGCTTCAACACACTGGTGGCGCTGACGCCTGACCACGTCCAGCGCGATGAGGACGGGCGCAAGGTGGAGTGGACACCGACGGGGCAGCCTCCGCGTGTGGAGCACCCTCGCTACGTCTGGCATGAAGTCCAGAAACAAACGCTGAGGGAGAAACTGCTGGAGAAAACCAGAAACTCCGCCCTGGTACCGATCCACAGCCTGTACTGACCGCCGGCGCTGGGCGTACAGGGACGACACCAACTGTACTCTTTGACAAGAACGAGAAGTTTTAGGTTTTATTCTGAAAGGCAATCTATGCCAGTAACTGCAGCAATAAAATGAAAGATGATGACTGTCAGGGAATCACTCCGACCGCCCCCAGACTGGAGCTCCCGGGGTCGTCGGGGGCGGTCCAGGGTGGGGGGAGGGACCTCAGAGCCTTACTGGTCCTCTATCATGTAGATTACGAGTTACTGATTTGTTGTGAAATTCTGTCTTCAGCTGATTAAGGACATGTCCAGCATCGCTCACTGACCTGTGGAGAAGCTGATCATCTGCTCGCTGCTCTTGACGAAGGCGGTCGCACTTTTCTCCTCTCCTCCTCCTCTCCCTTATCTTCCCTGCTTAGCCTCTTGTGTCCTTGTCTAGTCTCGTGGTTTTTGTATTAATTTTCCCTGAACACTCTCTCACAGTCTGTTCTCTAAAACCTAAAAGAGAATTATGGATTTGATCAACTGGTTGCTAAATGCAATCGACACCCTTTTCTCAACGAGAAGTCTGGGCTCGGGTGAGCCTGAGTGCTGAAGATATCTACCTATGAACCATGATAACAGGGTTCTGATCGGAGCTGGCTTGGCCCTGACTTATCGCAGAATTAAGAAAGCGGAACCAGCTGTTCAAACCCCCACAAGGCTGCCCGCTGGGATTGAAACGATGGGAGAGGCTCAGAATAAGATCTCTGACTGCAGACTGGATACATCTTGGAGAAGCTCACTGCGGTCGTGAGTTCTCAGTTTTCCAGGGAAAATTAATACAAAAAACACGAGACTAGACAAGGACATAAGAGGCTAAGCAGGGAAGATAAGGGAGAGGAGGAGGAGAGGAGAAAAGTGCGACCGCCTTCGTCAAGAGCAAGAGCAGAATCGGCTCCTTGAGCACAAGAAATGACAACATCACAGAACGCAAGTATGGCAAAGCTCGCGGCTCTCCAATGGGAGATTGAGAGACCAGTGTTGGACTGTACAACTGCTTTGAAATTCATATGAGTTGTTCGCACTAAAGTAAAAAGCACCATCACTTCATGCGGAGACCCCTTTGGCGCCAGCTGCGGTCTCAAGGCTGGAGCTGAACAACAACTCCCTGATAACGACTGTGTTGAGTCTGTTCTTCCCATTCCATGCAAGGCCACCTGGGTTGGCTGGAAGACTGTTTACTTAGCCTGGCAGGGCGAAGGACACTGTCTCAGCTGAACTCTGGACACACACACACACACATATACACTGATATGCACACACTCATCCCCCCTCCCTTTCCAAACGCCTTCGATGCTTATTCCCTTCCGATGCTGACGGGGATCAAGGAGACCAGCGCACGCAGGCCCGGATGTGCTGTCTAAGTCGGCGGTCTCTCACCTTTACCCATCCCTGTTGCTTGTCATGTGTTTCTTTGGTGTATTAAGAGTTTTTTCATGTGCAGAGGTGTTTTTTCTGTTCTCAAACTGATCTCCCTGTTGGAGCTCAGTCTGGGGGGAGTTATTTTTTTTCTTTTTTTTAAACATTTATTTATTGGTTTTAACCGGTTTTACACGATGCACCGTGAGCAAAAATAAATAAATAAATAAATAAATTAATAATAAAATTAAATAAATAAATAAAAACAAAACCACAACATACACACATATTTTTTTCTCCTTATCTTTCCTCATCTGGTGCTTTTTCCATTGTTATACCTCTCTGTCCTGTCTTCCCCATGTGATGTTTGTGTAATGTATGTATGGTCGGAGGGCAATAGGTCGGCAGCCTTATGAAATTTCCCCTTGTGGGACTAATAAAGGTATATCAAATCAAATCAAAATCACTTCACAGCTGGGTTGGATTATTCTATAATAACGTCGTTCATGAGTATGTTCATATCATTATCTACATGTGCGACGTATTTAATAACTAAAGCTGTGTGGTACAGCTGGGGCCCCCTTAAAGCCCCCCCTGCATGCTGCACTGCTGGAAAGAGAAAAAAGCAGAAATTATTATTGTCATTATTTTTAAATATATGTGTTTATAAATAAGTCTAAAGTTTCCAAAATAAAGAAAAAAAACACTGGTGGGGAAAAAGTCACTATGACTTCCTAAACATATGTTAAACAGAAACAACGCCCCCTGGTGGCCAAAGTCTTAAATTCTGCAGAGAATAATTCATAAAATTAACTTTTTTATGCTTCTGTAGAAAAACAACTGAAAACTTAAAAAGTTTGTATTTGTGAAGCTGCTGTGAGAAAACTTGAAATGACTGAAGAGTGAATTTAAAATATTTAATAGTTGTTTTTATTTCAGTTACGTTCCAAACACTGACCCAGCTCTGCTGTTTGCTGGTGTTGAAGGGGACTGATGGTTTTGTCACTAATGGTCACTTATAGATTATTTATTGGTTCACACGCTGCATGTGGCCGGCGTCGGAAACTCCTTCATGTTCCCACCTTTACTGGACTGAACGTTCAGCCCCTCCTCGAGGTTTGTTCCTGTTTGTCCAGCAGATGGCGCCATGTTGGCGGTCAGAGGCTTCAGAGTGAGTCTCAGTGATCTTTACACCTGCTGCAGAATCAGCACAGCCTGACACTGCTGGCTCTGATGCACTGATGTGTTTGAGATGCAGGAAATAAAACAGAACGTTCAAACTCTGACTCTGAATGAATCACAGACGCGTCTATTTTCCAGCTCTTTATTTCTCTCACACAGCAGCAGGAGGAGACGCGGTTGTTGGCTCAGCAGCTCTACGGCGAGTTATCGGGGGCTCAGGTCTGGTCAGCTGACGGCTCCATCTTCATCTTCCTCATGTAGTTGTCATTGAGGTTCTTCAGGTGTTTGGTTCGGTTCTCCAGACGGACCAGCCACTCCCCCCTCAGCCTGAAACACACAGGAAGGACGGTTACATTACATCATGCCAGCGCATCACATGACACCATGTAGTCAAACTCCACCCCCATCTTGCTGTTACACACACTGCACGTGCTCAGCAGTGGTTCTGCAGACCTACAAAGGTCACGCAGGTTTGTGACCTTTTATAAACCACCTGCTTCAGCTTTCGGTTTTCGTTCTTATGGTTCCGGCCTTAAAGCTACCGTGTCAGGGTGAGCGTCATCATATTCATTAACAGTATTTTAAGAGGATCTGATCGTAACAGCGATGCCTGGAGGTGGTCGGTGGCGTGCAGCAGTGCTGAGGTCAGAGCTTCAGAGCTTAATGAGCTCTGAGTCTGCAGCAGATCTGGTGTCCTGGTGACAGCTGCGGCGTTATCGCTGTCGCATCAGCGCTTTTATTTCACCAACACCCACGAGCGTGCTCGCCTGTCTCTGTGAGGCTCGATGAAGAAAGAACACCTCGTGCTGCTTTCTTCTTCTTCTGTTTGGCTGCACGTCACAGACAAATCCTTCACCTTCAGTCTCAGTACTTGACTTCCCTTACAGTGCTCACAGATACGATTTCACCTGAAGGACCTCTGAAGGTTTCATCTAAATAAGTTCAAACAGTATTTCTGCTCAGGTTTTGTTGCTTCTGCATCTGTTTTCATTCTCTGTGCTGCAGTTTTCATCTTTATTGACAGAAACTACTGGAACACTGCTCTGTGCCAAAGAAACTGAGCTGCACCGCGTCCGATTCAACTCTCTGACCGGATGTTATTGGCTGCTGATGTCACTGATGGGATGTTATTGGCTGCTGATGTCACTGATGGCTGCTGTCTGTAGGAAGAAGGCGTTTCTCCTTAAAGATGGTGGAGAGGTCAAATCATCACAAGTTGCCAGCCTGCCAGTCCAAACTTTTTTCTGGTCCTTCCTTTGGGACACACCTGAGGACAGAGGCTGTTTGAGGGGTCAGGGTGTACGTTATGTCACTGAAAGGCTTCACAACCACAGGTGCACAAACGTGCGGCAGACAGGAAGCGACTCCAGGACACAAAGGCAAAGAAATAACAGACGTTCGTCTGTGAGGCGTCACATGTTTGAGTGTAACCCAACCCTCGCCATCAGCTGTCCTCACCAGCTCTTTGTCGCCTTCCTGTCAAGTTTTTCGGATTATTCCATTTGTCCTGATAATCTTCCTGATGTCAGCCGAGGCAGACAGACGGACAGGTAGGCATCTCGCTCCTCTGCACCAGGAGCAGAGGAGCGAGATGCGAGATTTTTTTACGGGTTGTATGGAAGCCCCAAACGCAATTTCATTGTTCTTGACAATGACAATAAATAAATACTTGACTTGACCAACGCTTTAAGACCTTCATCTGACACAAAGGTGTTGCTGAAGCAGCATCAGAGTGATTCAAGTCCAGCCCGGCTCACTGGTTTAGGTTAGCATTTCTCCTTTCAGCGTGCTGAGCACCGCCACTATGACGTCTCTTATCCACAGAAGTGCCAGCGACTCATCCAGAACCAGTTTCACACATTTTCACCAAAACATGTGGGGTCATTGCTCCAGGCTCAGTACTGCACCACAGTGACATCACTGAGTGTCTCACTATGATTGGCAGATGTCCTCTTCAGGTCGTCTCCTGGTGCACCTCTTGTTCTGCACCGGCTGTTTGCATGTGCTTCACTCTGAGATCACCACGAACCTCAAAGTTGTGGGTCCTGAATCACCAGTGTGACGCAGCGGTGCAGGAGGCGGTGCAGAGGTGCAGCTAAATTATAATCAGCCAGGCTAAGGTCTGGGATCTGCAGCGAGGACCTGCAGGATGAAGCTAACCTGTCAGCTGATCAGGAACAAAACGAAATGATTTAGAGAAGCCAGAGAGTCACGTTCAGCATTTTTCTCCTCCTCTGCTAAATATAATTAATATGACTGCAGCCACTTCCTGTGCTGTTGATGAGCTGCTTCTTCTACAACATCTGCTGCTATGACTGTGGCCATTCAGGCTCCTCTACTACTGCTACACCCTCTGCTTAGACTTAGACCTAAACACTACCACAGCGTCTGTAACTCCTCCCATTTCTGCAGCTTCTGCTCCCACTGCAGTGGGTCTACTAACCACAGGGTTTGTGGTTCAGTCCCTGGATCCTCCAGCTGCATGTTGAAGTGTCCTTGGGCAAACACTCCACCCTCAGGTGCCTCCATCAGAGCGTGAGTGTGAAGGTTTGGATAAAAGTTCTTCGGCACTGAAATACCCTTCCATGAACGGGGCGTGTCTCGCTCTGCTCTCCTGTGCTAGTCCAGCACGTCCACGCCTGCGATGACCTCTGTGTGTTTTACTGTTACAACCTCTCCTCCTGCTAACGCTTCGACTCCTCAGCTTCTACCTGAACTTTAAATTTAGTTTTACTTGTTTGGTGTTTGAGCTGCAGGCGAGGGGTGGAGGAGCACCGTCTAAAGAGGTGCCGCCTTATATCTGAGCTCCTGAAGCTGTGGAGGAGCTGTGATGATGT